TTGTCTACAGGTGGTCTTTGGGTCTCCACTCCAACCCCCCTTGTTCACATTGATATAATTGTTTGTTTTGTATCTTTTGATACCTGATACCTGATCCCATCGACACCTGATGATCACACAAGCTGGTGTGCTTCTTCCATGTGGGTTTATTTGCTTTCCTTCACTTTTTTTTAATAAGAGTATTAAACCCTTTCAATAGAGGAAGAAGAGAGTCTCCATACAGAAGAATGCCTCCACCTTCCCAACACGATCGCTGAAGACAAAATGGGTGCATAGCAAATGTGGTGAAGAAAGCTGATGGTGCCCAGCTATAAAAAGATAAAAGCATCTGGGGTCTTAAAGGTTTGAAGACAAACAAGCAGCCATCCAGCTGAGATGCAACAAAGTCTAAAAAGTCCAATGTGAAGGAGGGGGAGGGCAGAGTGGAGATCCAAAGCCCATCTGTAGACAATTGGACGTCCCCTTACAGAAGGGTCGTGGGGAGGAGGTGAGTCAGTCAGAATTCAGTATAGTACCAATGAAACATACAACTTTCCTCTAGTTCTTTAATGCTTCTCCCCACCCCCTCCCCACTATCATGATCCCAATTCTACCTTTCAAATCTGGCTAGACCAGAGCATGTACATGAGTACTAATAAGAGCTGGAAACACAGGGAATCAAGGACAGATAAACCCCTCACGACCAATAATGAGAGTCGTGATACCAGGATGGGGAAGGGGACGGTGGGGGGAGAAAGGGGGAACCAATCACAATAATCTACATATACCCCCTCCCTGGGGGACTGACAACAGAAAAGTGGGTGAAGGGAGACACTGGTCAGTGCAAGGCATGAAAAAATAATAATTTATAAATTCTCAATGGTTCAAGAAAGAGGGAGGGAAGGGAGGGGGGAAATGAGGAGTTGATACCAAGGGCTCAAGTAGAAAGAAAATGTTTTGAAAATGATGATGGCAACAAATGTACAAATGTGCTTGACACAATGGATGCATGTATATAATGTGATAAAAGCTGGAAAATCCCCCAATAAAATGTTTTTCAAAAAAGAAGAATGCCTCATACTATACACAAAACCCAATTCAAAGTGAATCAAGAACCGAAATGAAAAGTTTAAATAATAAAATTCTTAGAAGGAAATGTAAGGTGTGAGACTATGGACCTAGTTTTATTTTTTTAATTTCATTTTATTAGAGGATCTTATCACAATCCATACACATATCCATTGTTTCATGAACGCTTGATAATTTATAAATTTTTTTCATGTCTTCCACTGACCACTGTCTCCATATATGTAGATTATTGTGATCGGTTCCCCCATTCTGCCCCCACCTTACCATTACCCTCCTGGTATGGCTACTTCCATTATCGGTCCCGAGGGGTTTATCTGGATTCTCTGTGTTGCAAGCTCTTATCGGTACCAGGGTAATTGCTCCAGTCTAGCCAGATTTATAAGGTAGAATTGGGGTCATGATAGTTGGGGGAGAGGGTATTAAAGAACTAGAGGAAAGCTGTGTTTCATTAGTGCTGTACTGCACCCTAACTGGCTCATCTCTTTCTTGTGACCATTCTGACAGGGGATGTCCAATTGATTACTGATGGGCTTTGGTCTCCACGCTGCCCTCCTCCTCATTCACATCAAATGATTTTTTGTTTTGTTTTGGGTCTTTGATGCCTGATACCTGATTGCATTGGCATCTCATGATCACACAGGCTGGTGTGCTTCTTCCATGTGGGTTTTGTTGCTTCTCAGTTAGATGGCCACTTTTTTGTCTTCAAGCCTTTAAGACATCAGACGCTCTATCTTTCGATAGCTGGCACCATCAGCTTTCTTCCCACATTTGCTTTTTCACCCATTTTGTCTTCAGTGATCATGTCAGGGAAGGTAAGCATCACAGAGTGCCGGGTTAGTAGAACAAAGTGTTCTTGCATTGAGGAAGGGCTTGAGTGGAGGCCCAATGCCTATGGATCTAGTTTTAGCAAGTGTGATAACAAAAGCTCATGCAGCAAAAGACAAAATTGATAGGGCATCATAAAACTTCAGACTTTAGTACATCAAAGTATTTTTATCAGCAAAGTGAAAAGACAACCTAAAGATTGAACGAAAATTTGGGGGAATCTGCATTAAGGTCCTATTTTTATTCAAAGATATATAACGCTTCTACAATGTAACAACAAAAAGACAAGATTAAAAACGGGGAAAAGAGAGCTAGTTCATCAAAGACGTGCATTACAATATCAATATCATTAGCCATCATTGTTGCTGATGGATGCTGCTGCCTAGTCTATTGTAACTGATGATGAAGCTTTGTGACTAATGAAATTGCCCTAAAAGATTTTCTTGGATGTAGTCTATGAGAAAGTAGATTGCCTGGTCTTTTCCTTGCAGAGCTGCTGGGTGGGCTTGAACCGCCAACTTTTCAGTTAACAGTCAATTGCTTAACTGCTCCCCCACCAGGTATCCTTCATTAGCTCTTTTTGTTGCGTGCCATCAACTTGATCCAACTCATAGCGACCATATATGACAGAGTAGAAATGCCCCATATGGCTTCCTAGACGATATTCTGTGTGAGAGCAGATTGCCGTATCTTTTCATCTGCACAGCTGCTAATAGGTTTAAACCATGACCTTTTGGTTTTCAGCCAAGCCTAAAACCATTTCACTGCCTCACTCTTACTCAGTAACCATTGGGGAGTCGCAAATCAAAACCACGATGAAATATCAATTCATCCTCACTAGTATGACATAATCAAAAGGCTGAAAACACAGAACAAACCAGATGTTGGGGAGGTTATGAAGAAACTGGAGTTCCCATTCATTGCCTGTGGGGAATGTCAAATGGTGCAGCCATTGCAAAAACCAGCTAAACCTAGAATTATCATTAGACCCAGCAATCTCAATTCTTGGCACCCTATATGCGTAGAAGAACTAAAGGCAGGGACACAAACAGAAACCTGTGTACTGATGTTCAATGCAGCACTTTTCACAATCGCCGAAATGTCCATCAACAAATGAATGGATAAGCAAAATGTAGTATGTGTGTATATAATGGAATATTATGCAGCCATAAAAATAAATGAGGTCCTGTGCATATCACAAGATGAATGTACCTGAAAACATTATGCTAAATGAAATCAGTCACCAGAGTGTATAGATCGAATATTCTCCCTTAGATGAGTAAACAAGTCTTTTGAATAGCAAAGAAATGGTTACCAGGATTGAAAGGGTGTTCTGGTGGCACTGTGCGATAAACATTGGGCCATGAAATATAATGCCAGGGATTCAAGCCCACCAGCTGCTCCTCCGGAAGCAGATGAACATGTCCGTAAAGATTTACCATCTCAGAAAGCCTGTGGAGCAGGTTTGTCCTATAGCATGACTATGAATCAATTCATAGGTCTGATTTTTTGTTTGGCGGGGGGCGGGTGGGGGGAATGAAAGGAAGAAGAAAACAGGAAGTTTATGGCAGAAGATACTGTTTCCAAGTTGTGGTGGTAGAATATTTTGGAAAAGTGTAGAAATAATGGTGACATAACACAGAAAATGTCATCAATGACAATGACTTGTAAATGTGTATGTACATGGTTGGATTGGTTGAGGTTTGGGTGGGTACATTTTCACCACAATAAAGTTTGTTTAATGCTTTGTCAGAGCTTATAGCCAGCTGTAATATTAATTTCATTGTACTGATAAGCTTTCACAGTCCAAGGGACCAGTTTATCCCGTCTTTATGACACTGTTCCTTAGCATTCACTGTTTGCACTCAAGTGCATTCTTGCCTTAACTCTCATAGACTTAATTCAGGTACAATGAAGAACGCCATCTCTGGTCAAAGTCAGCCCCCACTTTTTGAGTTTTCATAACACAACCACTGAATGTGTCCTTTCAATATTAAAAGGTGAAAAAAGAAGTGGGTGACGTAACCATCGTGGTCAATAATGCTGGGACAATATACCCTGCAGACCTTCTCAGTACCAAGGATGAGGAGATTATCAAAACATTTGACGTCAACATCTTAGGACACTTTTGGGTGAGTATGAATCAGAAAAAGCCATTGG